AAATATATATATTTTTGCTTATATGAATTTTTTTTTTCCCTTTTCATTAAAAAAAAAGATGTTTATTATTAAATATTTGTTTTTTTAGTACACATGTTTATTATTAAATTATAAGTTGTTGTATTTAATTTCAGAACATTAATTTCATTTTTTCTATTAATTGATGCACACAAATTATTTAATAATTGTGTAATTTTTATTTTTTTTTATTGAAATGAAGGTTTTCATAGACATGTATGACATACTATTTATTAACATTATAACTGTGTAATTAAATGCTTTCAAAAAAAACCCCTCGTTCTTATTCATTACGTGAATAGAAAAGTTTATAACAAAATAACAAAAGTAAAACAATCACAACAAAACTCACCAAATAAATAAGCAAAACAAAAATAAGGGAAAAAAATATAACAACCGTATGATTTTTAAACAAGTTAAGCATCCTTATCAGGTGGTGTTGGAGGTGGAGGGAAATGCTGATGGTACAGCTGAGTGACTCGATGGTCAATCAGATCAATGCGGTTCCTTGTCAGTTCAGCACGTCTCTCGGAGTCTACGCGGAACTCACCAAATTGATGAATTAGTGAGTTCTGAGCGGTGGCAATTTCATCGAATCGAGTACCAAATTCATCAAACCGAGTACCCAGTGTATTGAGCTGATTAGCCATTTGTTGTTCCCATTATAGGCGCTGATTGTACCGTTCCAAGGCTAAATAATCTGTCCAGTAACGGGGTTGTTCATTTGGTGGCATGGCATTGTCATTGGGTTCTTCCTCATCAGGTATTGGTTCATTTTGAAGATTAAGAGAGCCTATCAACGTGTCAGAACCACCAGCTCGGGTTAGTGTATATTCAGAAATTGGTGAAGTGATTCTGATCCATACTTCATCTTCAAGGTTCACATCATGGGCTTTGAAAATTATGGTTAGTAAAGCTCCAAAAGATAGGGACCGGCCACTCAGAGTATCCAATTTTCACTACAAGGATTTACACATTTGGCGACCACTTTTGCCGACCAAAAAAATTTTGGTCACAAAAAAATGACATTTGGCGACCAAATATTAATTAGTCGCGAATGATCATTATTTTTGGCGACCAAATATTATTGGTCGCAGAAGAATATATTTTGGCGACAAAAAAATAAGTTGGTCGCAGAAAGTGGTATGCTTTTGCCGACCAACTATAAATTTGGTCGCGGAAGGTCACATATTTTTTGGCGACCAAAAATTTGGTCGCGAAAAATTTATTTTCAGCAACCAAAAAAAAGTAGTCGCCAAATTATTACTTTTAGCGACTAATATTTTAGTCGCAGTTGATTGAGGTTTGGCGACTAAAACAATTTGTCGGCGAAATAACCTATTTTTGCGACTAATTTGAGAGTTTGGTCGCCAAAAGTTTAAGGAAAAATTTGAAAGATGGAGGGGGGAAATATATATATATATATATTTTTTTTTCAATTTTTCCTTACGCCTAAATAACCAAATTTATTCGTTATTTCCTTCTATTTATTTTCCCATTTTCCTTTTATTTGCCCTGCCCTTCACAAACACTGATTGTTCTCTCTCTTGCACGCATTCTCGCTCTGTCTCTCTCTCTCTCTCTCTCTCTCTCAGTTTGCACTGGTATGAATCTCTCAATCTCGTTCTCTCTCTCTCCCCCCCTTTATGTCTTCTCAATCTTGTGCTCTCTCTGTTTTGAACTCGATCGTTGAAGGTACGGGCTCTTTCTCTCAAGTTTCTTTCTCTATTTCTTCTTGTTTTCGGGTTTCAATCTACACCTAGGGTTTCGATCGAGTTCAAGGTACTTTCTCTCGGAAATTCTTCTCTCTATTTCTATCTTACTCCATTTTTTCTTAGTTTGCGATTTGAATCTACTCCTAGGGTTTGGATCGATAAATGACCCTTGCAATATTCAATTTGAATGTGTTTGAACTCTTGATATTTGATTGAATCACTTTGATTTAATTCAATTATTCTCTTATTTATATGTATTTCAAATACCTATGTGTATAGATTTTGGAGTGATTTGGTACATATTATATGTGATTGAGTGGAAGTTTGTGATGATATACTAGATTAATTTCTGGAAAACTCAGGGGATGTGTTGGCTCTTTTTTGATATCTGGTTGCTTCAATCTCTCTATTAATTTGTTTCCTTGCTCAAAAATTGGAGGGAAAAATGGAAAATGTGATTTTCAATATTGATATTTGGTTGCTTCAATCTCCTTCAGTTTGCTTCTCTCTATCTCTCTCGGTCTTTGAATCTCCCTATAAATACTTATCTAGCTTTCTCATATTCCATCTATAATTTTGGATCATTTATGATCTATCTATGCATCCTTAGGTTTGCAGGTTTTGAGTTCAAGTTATAAGTTTTGCGGTAAACATTCAATTGAAATGCAAGCTGAAACCCTAGCATCTTTTGCACACTCAGCAGGCCAAACTAGTGTTGTCGCCGTTTCTTCTGCAAGGTAAACTTTACTGCTAAAGTTTGATTTACTTCTCTCTGTATCCATTCATGTTAATAATAAAATAATGAGACACATTTAGGTGAGCTTTTTAGAATGCCATCATTTCTATTGGGATCTTCTGTCCCCAACTCTTGTCCCCATCTTCTATATGAGATTTTACAAGAATGGCAGGTCAGTGGCTTTCCAAACTAAAACTTCACGCAGCTCTATCTTTCATATTGTAAACCATTGTAAAGTTTAGGATTGTTTGACTTCTTATTCTGTATTTATTTATTAATTGTTTGACTTCTTATTCTATATTTATTTATTATTCTTTGGATCTTTGAATTTGTTTCCCATGTAAATAGAATTAGAATTTATCATCCCATTGCCTTGTTTTTTCAATTTAAAATTCCAATCTACATATCAGGTTATTTTTCATTTCTGGTAATAAAAGAATACTAAAGATGTGAGCTATAGAATTTCTCTATTTTGATAACCTTTTGTATCACTCGCCCATTATTGATGTATAGGAAATGAGATAATTTTATAATAATCTAACCAATAACTACATGAGCCACAACTAATTACTATTATTAATTTTTTATAATAATCTTTTGTTTAGAAATTGTCAGTGTATGTATGTCTTGTAGTGGGTAATTTTAATATATGCAGGGACCTCTTTGTAGAAAACATGAGAAAAGAGGGTTGTGTGTGCCTGTAAGCTAGCAAACTAAAAAAAATTGAGATGGTAGTTGTAATGTGTATTATATGAAGTGCATATGTAAGAGGGAAAAAAAGAGGGAAAAAAATGAGAAAAGAGGGTTTTTGTAATGTGTATAAGTTCTACATGTGGGTAAGAGGGAAAAAAAAAAAGGTCAAAAAATAAGATATGGTGTGTTGTGTAAACTGAAGAAAAGCAAAGAACTCAAAGCTCTAGTAGAAAAAATAGATAGAAGGAAGTTAGTGGAGTCTGGTTCTGTTATGTTAGGTAAAAAGGTCTTGTAAACATTGTTTTAGTCTTCTTTCACTTGAATGTGAAAATGAAGTGCATATGTAATTGTTGAAGTGAATTTGGTTTTTTTCTAGGACTTGTATTCTAAGGTCTGCTGAATATGGCCAATCGTATTCTAAGGTCCATGATAAAGCTACACAGGAAGTGAGCTCTTAGGTACGGCTTTACCTTTTCATCAATTCCCAATGGGGTGTGTGTGTGAATAGGTATTCTCAATTATAGCATGCAATCATCATACTGTACTTCTTTCTCTTGGAAAAACTAAACTAATGATTTAAATATATTAGCAATATAAATGATGAGAGACCCCCTATATGTATTTCTTCTCTCTTTTTTCTATTCCTATATGTATATTTGTTTTAAATATTGGAATGTTGCTATGGAAAAATGCAAAAAATCATGTGGTTAGATGGCATTATAACATAAATAAGAATTTCTACTTGATTTGCTGCAGCTAAAAGTTTTTAGCTAGTTTTTGAACATTATATGTTCTATCCACACTTCAAAAAGAAAAAAGAAAAAAGAAGGGAAGTGAGAATGCCGTCTCCTTTTTATTTTTCATTTTTTATTTTTTTTCTTGTCGAGTTTGGTGACATAGAATATGATTTGGAACTTTTATGGGTTGGTGGAATTTGGTGGATGATAAATTTTAAGACATTTGTTTGATAAATAAGGTTTCTTAGAGCTGAGGTATCCTAAAACCTACTCCCTGTTATATAGGATAAATTATGTTAATTCTACTTCACCATTTCACCCCCTCACAATCTTTAATCATTCTAGTCAGCCAAACAGTACCATCATTATTTGCCCTCTCGGCCTTACTCATTGGCTTTGAGCTTTGGGCCTTTCTTCTTGGAATGTTATATGACACGTTTTCAATCCTAGCCATGCTTGTAAAGAAGATTAAAATAAAATGCATGCAGTGATAATTTGTTAGATCAAATAAGATTGCCAAAATACAAAACTGATCAACTTTATAGTATTATGAATATGTTTAAGGTTACCTGTTTACTTTGTTGCTTGAGTAAAAATCTGACCTCTGCTAATTAATATGCAGACGTGCTGTCCTGGAACAAAAGCACCTGATTTAGAAGAAGATGATAAATTCTATGAGGACTTCAATATGAATGAAGTTGACTTGAATATTGAGAACTATGAAGAAATATTTGGTGTAGCTCTTAATGATCCAGAACAACTGTTTGGTAACGATGGAATTGGTAGCTTGTTAGGAGTAAAGGACATGTCCGATGCTGATTTGAACCATCGAGGCACATATGCAGCTGATTTGAACCATCCTTATTATTCTCATCAGCTATAATCGGCTCATTTGTTTGTTGTTTTAGTTCTTCATCTCTTTCTGCTTTACAATGTGTCACTGTCAATGCATAGTTCTAACATCTTTGTCCCATTGAGTTGTGAGAAATGGAACTTTGTTCATAAATATTGCTTTCTTTCCTATCTACCAAATTTTGGTCAAATGGAATGTTCTTGGTGGATATGGTTTCTTTTGGTATATGCATGAGCTTTGTGCCCCCTAGTGATCAAATGGAATGTTCTTGGTGGATATGGTTTCTTTTGGTATATGCATGAGCTTTATGCCCCCTAGTGACTATATATTACCGTTTGTTAGCAGGGATGGTTTTGCTAAGACAATATATTACCGTTTGTTTGACTGGTAAGATATGGGAG